AAGAAAGCAGTTGAATTAGATGAAACTGTGTTCTTCAATAAAAAGCAATGTGTTTGTTATTCATTGTAACTCAGAAAATTGAAAACCGAATTTAGTTTAAAAATGTCTATTTTTATATTAGATTTGGTTGTTGGCAGAATGAATTAAATGGTTTTAAATTTAAAAGAATAATTAAAATATGAAAATATTATGCTTTGGAACTGTTTAGCAACAAATGCATTTATGTTTGAGGTATGTTGGGGGGACAAGTGGGGCAAGGTTCTGGATGCTGCTTAACCATTGCCTGTCCCTCTTTTATAGAATCTCAGTTTCCAGGTATGCTATTTGTCCTATAAATATGCAAACTGGTTTTTGCAAACAAATGTCAAATAACTTGTCTGATTTTCAATAAATTATTAGTTTTTTCTCTGAATGATGCAGGTTTTAGATTTTGAGTCCCATTCAGCAGTTCAATACTGCATTTTTCTTAACGGTTTTTATATTCATGACAGTGTGCTCATGGGTATAAAGTACATGTGAAAATGGTTTTCAGACAAAAGAAAAGAAAGAAAGAGAAAGAGAAACTACACCTTAATTTTCTAAAAAACTAGAAGCACCCTCAAGTGACCACAGAGGAATTTGATATAATTTGGGACACTTTAATTTTGTTATTAAGCACAGGATTCTGTGCTTCATCTGGAGTTATGCACAAAGCTTCAATGTTCCCAAAGCTTTTCACTCTGCTCACTCCTCTCTAGGAATATTCTAATACAAATAAAAGTTACAGAACCCAGTGGCTCTAGGGAATTTTAAGTTAAACTTTTAAGAATCAGGATTGCCAATCTCCTTAGGATATTCTTAATTCCAGAATTCTATATTAACCAAATTTCCTTTTTTCCCCCTGTTTCTTAATAGGTCCCCTAGAAACTATAAGCTCCACACAATATTTTAAAATTCAATTTTATAGTAGTGGATGATCACAAATACTGGCACGGTTGTCTCTAGTGTGAAAGGGATGCAACTGACTAAAAAACACAGATAAACAGAGGCAAAGTTTAATTATTGTAATGTAGGTAAAGAGATGCAATTTATCTGCATCTCAAGGTGACTTCACAGGGCACNTATTGTAATGTAGGTAAAGAGATGCAATTTATCTGCATCTCAAGGTGACTTCACAGGGCACAACTCCTCTCAGAGGCAAGCTTCCCCGGCCTGCCCAGGAAGGCAGCTGGATGCCAGCAGTCCTGTCAGTTCCAGGTGAGGATGCCATCATATCTTTTAGGAAGCTCCCTTTCATATATTTCCAACTTTTCTGAAGACTCTGTATATGTATCTGAGTACTTGCCAGGTTCAAATAACCAGTAACTATGCCAGAATATTACTGAGTAAGTAAATCAGAGGTTTGTTTCCTCGGTATAGACTCCCTGCTAGCAGGTCCAGCTTACATGCCTATCTAAGCCTTATTCCTGAAGAACTGATAATACAGGAATCCAGATTTTTTTTTTCTGATAATATTATTTAAATGATAAACATTTTAATCTTTATTGTGATTTTTTTTTTAATGTGTGAAAATAATATCAGTTTTTGCTTAACTTGGATAGCTATGCTACATGTGAGAAAAATTGATACGGAATGTAAAATACTAGCTATTTCATACATGCATGCACAAACACATGCATGCATATATACATACATTTGCATGTGTTTATATCATCCTCAGCAATTAATCCCATCATTGCAGATAACAAGTTATGCTTCATATATTTTGTATTCTGAGAATAATGTATTTTACATTATAGATATTCAGTAAACTTGTTGATTAAATGCAAGTGATTATAACAAATAGAATAAGAAAAAATATATATATACATACTTTTTGGTTCTTGAATGTTTCAGGAGTATCTGAGGACTTATTGCATAGAGTTTGATACCTGAAATTGTCCAAGTGTTTGAAGGGAAAAGATGTCAAGTTATTTTAACTCTTTTTCAGAACTTGAACTCTATACCTTAGTTTAAGATTTTTTTTCTTAAAATTTCTATTATATTGACAAACTCTCANCAGTTTATTTTACACACAAACACACACACACATATAATAATTTTATTTGTTTTGAAATATAAAATAATGAAAAAGAGATGGTTATAACAAATAAGAAAAAAAATCAAGTACCTCCAAGACACATTTTGTTCCTTGTTTAGTTTTACTTATGTCCAATTAAATAATAACCAATCAGAAAGACTAAAAGATCACAGAGTTAATTATATGTAAGACTTGATGAGTCTAGGTTGTACAGGCAAAAATATAAATAGTATATATATATTCCTATATTATATAAATAATGGATTTATTTATATTTAGTTTAATTTAGTTTAATGTTCTAAATCTCCAAATGAGGTTTATTCTTAAGCAGTGTTGTGTTAAAAAATAAAGCAATATCATTTATAAAATTATGAAGTTTACCAAAAATTTTTGAAGTATTTACTATTTCCAAATAATTTCTTTCTTTTTAAAATGTGTACATAGTGAAGGAAAGAAGCCTAGAGTTACTTTAGACTATTTTATATATTGTTAAGAATAACTTAATCACAGTGAAATAATTTAAATTATTAAATTCTTGTGCACATTTCTCACTCTTAGAAAACAGGCTTATTTTGTATGATTTTTAACTCCTGTAATTGCCAGTTACCACACATGATATGAACGAGAATGGGAAGTTGCAAATATAATTTTTTT